TGTGCCCGCGCTTTTCAACGCCGCTTGTTCGCTGAAATTGCAAATAACAAGAAACCAGAAACAAATGACAGCTAAATCCGGGAGAAAATTTGAAAACAGACATATTCTTAAAGTTGTATCATCTGCTTTCAAGATAGATTCTTGATTTAGATTTTCAAAGCAAAAATCCCTGATGATGAACTCTGTGGTACGGTGACAAGGGGTACGGGTACAGTACAGTACAGTACAACGAGTTTGCGCGGATTAGGCGCGAGTCGAGCGACACCCCGGTGTCATGTTAAACTAATTCTGCTGACAAAGTACACGAATTAAGTAGCAAATCGGTGACTGGGGTCCCGGGGGGTCATAGGTTACCGGTCTCACTTGCACGGTGGGTATGTCGTGCGGAGACCTCTGATGTCAGCCATAGTTTGTGAGACTCAGCACGTCACCACCATTTAAAAAATTAATAATTTATTCAACATTGCTAATAAATACATAAATACATCGTACACCATACGTATGGAGTGCTGAGGGTAAAGTAGGGCCGAACTACAAACACGTAGGTCTCCTCACGGCAAAAAAGGCATTGCTTTATGTGCTGTATTAGTTAAATATATCCATTATGGCTGGCCACACTTGAAACGACGATAGTACCTTAACTGAATGGGGAGAGCAGTACTCTCGTATAAGTAGGCCTAGTAAAACCGGACCGACACATAAAATGTTTCGTTCGGTTTCGTTGGAGTAGCTCAATTAGTTGTTCCAGAAAATTGTTCGGTTTTCTGTCCCGTCATCAGCAAATAACGTTCGAGAACTTTTTTTTGCGTTTGGCTGGTTTAGATATTTACTCTAGACCAAAAAGAAAAAAAACACATTGTCGTAAGTAAAAGTGAACGATACTAAGATCATACACAATAAGCCGCATCCCTGCGAGCAGCGCCGATCTGGAATGCGCATCTAAATGTGATGTTTTGTGACACATTTGAGCATTCCCAGTGATAATTTTTTTTCCGGCAACGTCATTTCGACATCTTTTTTCACGTCGTTACGACATGAAAGTGTGCCTGAAATCAACGGCTTTTCGACAGTCGGTATCGTTCCCACGTTTCTCTGTCGAAAAGCCTCCGATTTCAGGCACACTTTTATGTCGTAACGACGTGAAAAACAATGTCGAAATGATGTCGGAAAAAATTCTCAAAGTCTCAAATTCACCTAAAGAAAAACGTGTTTCTCACGAAGACCTCATTGTGACCTCTTTATGACTTACGAGGTCACGATTCTTGCACTTGTGACCTCACTGGTGACCTCACAAGCTCAAGGAATCGTGACCTCAGAGGTCACAATGAGGTCTTTGTGAGAAAAACGTTTTCCTTGGGCATGTGCATTATTTGGCGCTATACTAGCGGAACTGCGACCTGATTTCTACATTTAGTATCACAGTGTTTCTTAAAGATCAAAGACGGCGATTTGCGAATAGTAATAATGATAATAAATAATACGGAGCTGGATGGGCCTAGCTGACGATGGTGACCCTCTTGTCCTCCTCGCTCATGTCCTTGTCTCCCCAGCCCCAGACGGGGTGGGTGCCGTCACCCGTGCGCAGGCAGCGCGCCATGACTAGGTCGCGGTTCACCGACTTGAGGTGCGTGGCCTGGCCTATCTTGGCCATGAGCTCGATGAAGACTGCGCCGTAGTTGGAGGCGTAGTAGCTGAACTCGCCCGACTTGTAGTCCCAGGGGAACACGTGGTGGTAGTTGTGATAGCCCTCGCCGCCGATGCCCAGGGCGACCAGGAAGTTCTCCCGGGCGGCGATGGACCTGCGGGGTTGGTTGAGGAACGAGAAAATGGTCAGAATGAGAATGATCACCGTTCTGGCCAAGCTTGGGATTTAAAAATCCGAAATATTTTCAGAAAAATTGAAAAATAAAAAC